AACCCGATTCAAATTTTCCGAAGAAATCAGGCTCGTAACCCAAAAAGTTTGTAAAGAGGGGCATTCATAAACCCGAGGTACCACTGTTTAATCTCAATGTGTCAGAATGGTTTTTAACTTGTTTTCTGTGGGTAGCCCCTACAGCCTTTCATGGGCCTGACAGCTGAGTGGACAGGGCTTCAGATTTGTAGTCCTGACGTTCCGGGTTCGATCCCCGGTGGAGGTGGAAACAAATGGGCAGTGTTTCTCTCACCCTGATGGCCCTGTTACCTAGCAGTAAATACCCTGAAAACACAAACCGAAACTGTCTCTATTTTCTGCTTGTTACAACTTGTAATAAGGTTGTTACATCTTGGCTTAATGTGTTTATGACTTATTAGAACGTTGTTACAACTTGCTATATTGGTTGTGATAACTTGTTAGGAGGTGTTAAAACTTGTTCGAACGTTGTACCAACGTCGTAGTTTCGGTGTGTGTTTGGCGGGTAGGTACCTGGGAGTTAGACAGCTTCCTGGGGGTGTATAACAAAAAGGAGGCTTGTTCGAGGAGCGGGCCACGGGGACACTAAGCCCTGAAATCATCTCAAGATAACCTCAAGATAACAGCTCCCTACAGCTTACCGGGCTGATATGTATGTATTAGACCATGGCATCAGTTGATGAAGTTCTTGCCTACCGGGAACCACAAGCCAGAACCTAGCCCGCTCAGAGGGGCACGAGGAGCAATTGCCAATGGAACAACCCCCCTCCCCTTCACCATGTGTTTGGAAGCATTTCATGTCTGCCATTGATCGGGGTTTGGCACCCAGAAAGGTAGGTGTAACAAAAAACCCACATGGTAAAATTTGCTACCTAAAGCTGAACTGGGAGGCAGAACGGCCACACTAAAACAAGCAAACGGTACTCACGCTGCTCGTCTACCCCACCCCAGAGAGGGAAGGGGGGGCCCCTGAAACACTCACACCGGCCGCTCCTGCATTCAGTTTCTCGGCTGATGTGGACTGTGGAGGTCGTCAACTTTGGCCTCTGACTCTGCAGTTCTGTGCTTTGTGGAGTGTTTATGCAGTGTGTGGTGTGCAGGCCAGGAATAACTGATCAGTACTGGGGCTGCATGCGCTTAGGGCCACCTTCCCTAGGCGTCCTGTAAGTACTACCCTTACATCTTGGGGTTCCCTTCCACAGGGCGTTTGGGAACCGTTTTAGTACGGGGTCTGTTGCTCTGCAGTTGCCTGCCCTTGGGGCCAGTTGGAGTTTTTTGTATCCACTGTTTGGCCTTGGGTAGGAAGTTGTATCATTGCTGGTAGGGGCACAAGTTATTGTGAAGCTTGTCTCCCATTTTACACAGCAACCGGTTCTGTTCCTCCAGGGGACATTGTGCTTTCGCAGTTTTTCTTTCTTTTGCCTGGTGGGGGTCTGCCCTCTTGGTTTATTTACCCTTCTGTTATATTGGTGGTCCTCTGCTAAGCCTCCGTGCTTGTACATGTCGCAGAGGTTCAAGTTTTTAGCAGTTTTCGTGGTTGTTTGGTCCCAACCGGTTAGCAATACCTTGTCAGGCTTCCTTTAGCAGTCAGCCTAAGGGCCCAGGAAAACCCCATTAAGGCTCTTTGGACCTATGGATGCGTCCTCTGGGTTTCAGCTTGCTGAGTGGGAGTTTGTAGGTTGTTCTGTCCCCTTGTCTTAGGGTGTCACTTGCCACTTTTGCCTGGGGCCTGGGTCTGGGTCCCATTTGACCCCACTTGGGTGTTGGTACCCTTGCAGCAGGGCTTGTTGTTGCAAGGGGAGGGGGGTTTTCTTACTCCTTCCCTGTACAAGTATGATTGGGTTCAGCTCTTTCCCCGGTTCAGTTCTGGTTTCCCCTGGGTACTTAGGTTCCTTCCTTCCGGAGGTTTTCGGCTTCTTGAATCCCACCTAAGGAGGTTCGGGAGGCTATCGCGGCTTACCTTCTGCGAGGCCCGGATTATGCCTCGGTGATGGATCTCTCTTCTTTTGAGTTCACTTCGACCTTTCACTTTTGGGTGCGTTACGATGTACCGGAGTCTTCATAGTCGGCAGAATGTCCTTTTTTCGTTGGGGGCATGACATGGATTTTGTCAGACCCGCATGCTTGATTGGTGGGAGACTTCCACTGTGTTACAGGTTTACCTGGGGGCTGAGTTTGAGCACATTAATGCGTGCTTGTTTGCCCCTGTGCATCTTCGGGATGTTGGCATTGTGCAACTGCATGTGCAGGTTCCCTCCCTTTTGGCTTTCTTGGTGGCTGAGGATTTGTGCACCAGGGGGGCATTTGGCCTCGGTCTTGCTTTTCTTTTCCCTTCTCGAGCTGTCCTCGAACTGGCTTGAAGAGGATGTAGAGATGCTGGGTGTCAAGTCTTCATTCGGTTGTGCTTGCCTCAGCAGCTACAGTGTTGGCTGCTTTGTTGAAGTTGTTTGTGCCAATTCTCAAGGAGGCAGTGTCTCTGTATTTTGCTTCTTGCCTCTCGTGCCGACAGGCTGTGCTTGCTCTTTCCTTGGAATCTGCTTGGGCTTTGGCTCCTAGGTTTTTGTCGCTCTTTTGTCCGTTGCTGTTTGCGGAATCTGCTGTCACGCAGTTTCTGCAAGCAGCTTCGTTTTACTGTAACCCAGATTGACCATTGCACTGTTCTGCATTAAAATATGAAAAAAACCTGGTGTGCAGAAAATAAATTCTTTCAAAAAATTTATCTTATATTGTTAAAATACAGTCTCTGATCACTGGAAACTAAAAAAAAAAAAGTATTGTATGTGACATACTTAAGCTGCGATGGAGCTGAGAAGTTGAGCAAATTATGGGCGCTGAGCGATGGAGTGCTCAAGGTCACTAGGGCCCCGCCACCCTGTGGGGCGGCAGTTGACGCGAATATAATGTTTCACAATTATTTTTATATTTCTCATTCGTTTCTTCTTGTTTTTTTGCTGTAATTTTATTCAAAAGTGTGGAATTTATATACAGTAGTTCAATGTATGGAATATTGCTATGCTGAAAATTATGGGGCTCATATGTGTGACATGTATATTATATTCTACGATCAATCAGTGTTTTTGCTGTTATTACACTACATACACATATTGTATATACCTATCTACATATGTGTTTACCATAACGAACCACTAAGTTGGTATAGTGAGCCCAAGACAACAAGAGTGGGCGCGACACAGCATGGCTGATTCCCTCCCACCTTCAACACCCTCTGACCAACATTCCACCTCCCACCATACTGGTATTGTTTTTATTACACTATTTACTCATGTTATATACATTATAAGTGTCTACATGTTTTATTCACCATAACTGTACATCTAGGCTGGTATGATGAGTTGAGGCAATAATAGAGGTCGCACTACACACACAGCTGATGGCTGCCTCCCTCACTGGTTCAGTTCCAGACGCACTAACATTCCTCCCACAACCATATTGTTTGTCGTCTTATTACGCTATATACACACAAAATATATATAAGTATCTACATGTTTTATTCACCATAACTGTACAACTAAGCTGATAAGACGAGTTCAGGCAATAAGAGAGGTTATCCCACATACGCAGCTGTTGGCTGAACAAATCCAGAAGGGCCATGGTGAAGGTTCGAACCTACGTCCGAGAGGATCCCAGGCGCACCTTAATCGACTGTCACGATGTGGGAAAGAATTGCAACCAGGAGTTCCACTGACCTCACACGGATCCTGCAGTCTCTCCGAGAGACAAACCAGAGTTTTACACAATTTCCCCATGCACCCGGGCTCTGTCAATAATCTATTCTACCTCTTCTCCTTTGATTAAGGCGTGTCCGGGATCTTCTCGGATGTAGGTTTGAACCCTCATCACGGCCCTTGTGGATTTTTTCATTTGATGCATCACACTATTGTGATTTCTGTGTGAGCTAACGGCTACCTCCCTCACTGGTTCACGGCCAGACACATTAATATTTATCCCACAACAATACTGTTTGTGGTGTTATTACCCTACATACCCACATTATATATAAGTATCTACATGTTTTATTCACCATAACTGTACAACTATGCTGGTCTGATGTCCAAACAGCATAGTGGCCACTGCATAACAGGTCACACAGCAGGTAGCAGACGACAGCTTTACCCACTCCCTCACCAAAATGGTTCCTCTCAATAAACTGATTTCTCTGTTATTACACTCTATACACACGTTACATATAAGTATCTATACTTGGGTTCACCATAGCGAACCACTAAGCTGGTATTGTGATTCCAGACAATAACTTGTTGCCACACACCAGCCAGCAGACAACGCTATCTCCCTCCCGCCCCTCACCAACAATACACCACCTCCCACATTGCTAATTCTCACCACATTCCTGCTATTATCAGAATCCTGATCACTAAATCATGTACATGATGATTAATTTTCCACATGTTTATTTTGTAATGGAACACGAGAAGTTGTTTGAAGAATTTTAGATGGATGAAATACTGTAATGGCAGTGTGCTGTGGCTAGCGCTGTGAACATCTTGAACAGCATTTATTCACTGATATCTGAACATTCACTGATATTGTACACAGTCTTTATCAGTCAGGCTCTTCTGTAATACTATCATGGCTAAATAATACCAGATACATATATATTTGGACTTTTTTAGGTAATGCTGCGGTCACAAGCTGAACAGCAATGCTGTTAGCTCATGCTGCGTGCACCAGCCTTGGTTACTCACTCAGTACTGAGACCTTCACACCCGGGAATGTTGCCCACGATTTTTTTTAAATGGTGTCTGTTTAGGAGAGCCCTGAAGTAGCTGATGTGAACCCCATGTAGCAGCGGGAGTTTTGAATGATAAGGTATACCTATAAGATCCCTGAGGCACGTTGCGCACCACCCATCGTGAGCCTCAAGACGCGTTGCGCAGTGCAGTGGTTAAGGCAGTTCATTACACTTGACACTTTTATTTTTTCTGTTGTATTTTCATGCATTTAACTGTGTGTGCCGTAAATTGTTTGTGAATTTGTTGCAGATAGTTAAGAAGATGAAGCAAGAAAAGAGGAAGAAAGAAAAGATGTGTTACAATCCATGGACAGAACATGTGTTGTCAGATAAGAGCATAGCAGACAGCGTTGAAGCACTAATAGGAGCTTACCTACTCGTTGGTGGCAGTGAATCGGCCATCAACTTTCTTCATATGTTGGGTATTGGAGTTTATAATGTAAGCATGTTGGTGGAGGTTCTATACACACAAATCATTTAATGAAGGGAAAATGTTCCTTAAAATGAGAGCATTAGCAAAGTCATTGCTATAAGAGGTCATTATTGCATATAAGGATGTTCTCCTTGGATACTAGAATATGCACACTGTAATTACTCTCATTCTTTTCATAAAAAAAGAAACAATATAATTTTCAGCCTTGCCATCTAATGTATGAACAAGATGGGTGGTACAAATTAATCCCTGTAAAGCTTCTCCCCTTCTAGCTCCTACCACATGTGCCACTCAAGCATGCTTTCTTTGATATGGTAAGGGGGTCTCTCTCTGTGCCACTTTGAGGTAGGTGTCTGTAGCTTTTGGTACAATCTCATGAATGCTGTGATGTATCTGAATGAATTAAGCTTTTGGCTGCACACCTGTTTTAGTAGTTAACAACCTCCTGGTGCACAAGAAAAATCATTTCATATTTTTGTTTGTTTAGTCTATTATTAAAATGATCACTGGAAAAATACTAAACGATTCATATGTGGCTTGCTTTGGTGATGGTGAAACTTGGAAGTATTGGAATGATGTCACGATTTATGAGCGTTCAACAAGCAAGCGCTTTGGAGTGGTCATACCAAGCTAGCCGTGAGGCGGGAAATAACGCATCAATATAGTTTCTGGGGGAGCCCCGTCGGCTTCTCGGAGCTATCCAGGCTGAATGGATATGTATAACTTTCTGGCATCAGTCAAAATGCTTGAAGTTCTTGCCTACCGGGGACCACGAGCCAGAACTTGGCCCCCTCAGAAAGGCACGAGGAGCAATGGCCTATAGAAACCCCCCTGTGGTTGGGAGCATTCTATGTCTGCCATCAACCGGGACAGGCACCCAGAAAGGTAGGCGCCTCAAAACAAACCCCTATTCTGGTAAAAATATTGCTACCGAAAGCCGAACAAGTGGACAGAACTCTCCAAACAAAATTATCAAACTATCATGGCGTCATCACCACGCAGCCGTCTGCGTACCCTACCCCCCTCCCCGGGAGGGGAAAGGGGGAGCCCCAGACCATCCGCGCCGGCGATCCAACTGGCAGTTCTTAGGCTGGATGTCAAAATACGTGAAAAAACGCCGACCGGAGGGAGGGAGGGAGGGATGCCGGGAAGCCTCCGGGACTCGCCCAGAAAATTGCATTTCATTACATTCAATGCTGGTTTTCTGGGGGAAGCCCCGTTGGCTCCTTGGAGCTACCTCACCACAGATAAGGAAAATAGGGAAGGATCCGGGATGCGGATGCCACGCGCCCTAACCTAAAAAAACAAAATGAGGAGGAGAAGAAGAAAACAGACCACTAGGGCCAACGACCAGGACGGCACCAAAAATCAAGAGCAGGCCAGTGGTGAAACAACGCCCAAGACAGCAAGCAGAATGGAGCAGAAGGAACAGCCACACCGAACTCAAGCTGGAGCGACTCTGCCAGTACCACCCAAGACGAGGCGACAGTACACGGTCCCAGAAGATGGTCCCGGAACAACCTCGAAGGGAAGACAAGACAAAAAATCCTTTCAAAATCAAAAGGATATCATCAGCAGCATTTGCTATATTGACCAATATAAGAACTGCCTTTAGAAACTTGTTTAATTCAGAACCTTGTAAAGGTATACCACATATATCAGACCAATCCTGGAGTATGCATCTCCAGCCTGGAGTTTATACCTAGTTAATACTATCGTTCTCTTTGGACATGACTCGCGTCCATTTTTTTTCTCTCGGGTCCTAGCTGAGGACAGGACTTGCGTCCACTACAAAAGTATTTGTATAAAATTCATTTTTTATCCGATCGACCTCGGGTAGTTTCAAAATAAGCGCCTTTAGAATGCGCACAATTTGATACCAAAATGAAAGATGTAACATGAAACTTGATGTCAGAACACTTGAAAGATTATAAATACGTTTTTGGGTCTAAATTTTAAATTTCAAAATATTTGTTAAAATTCTACTTATTATGCTATTATTATGGGACAAGTTTTAAAATGCGCGCCTTTATATTGCGAACAATTTGATACCAAAACGAGCGATGTAACATGAAATTTTATGTCAGAACACTGGAAATGTATAAATAATTTTGATGATGAGCGTCCAAAATTAAAATATTTGTTAAAATTCCAGTTATTGCTCTATTATTATGGGACTAGTTTTAAAATGCACGCCTTTATTTTGTGAACAGTTTGATACCAAAACGAGCGATGTAACATGAAAATTGATGTTATCAAACTGAACGAGTATACACATTAGGCTGTAGTGTGCAAATTGGTGCTCGTTCACAAGGTAACTTTAGGCTTTGTTGCAGGGAGTCTCACCAGGCTTTTGGACATTATATGCATATGCATCTGCAGGGAATTTAATTGCGAACACAATGATACCAAAACGAATGACGTAGCACAAGAATTAAGGTGAGAAAACTGAAACGAGTATACACATTTAGGTGTCGCCGCACGCTCGCCCGCACCATTGGCCCCAGGACGTCAAAGTCTGCGGTGCGCGCGTGGCGCCGGCGATAGTACTAAACACAAGACTGCCTGGGACTTGGGAGGCCGGTTTGTATTAGTTGGTGTTCGTAAAGTTGTGACCTGTTGTGATGAAACTCACTTTTCTTGTAGTTCTTCAGTTGCTCCTCATCCCTCCTCTGTTCTCTTTCTTTGGGGGTTTTGGGGCTTGGTATTGGCAGCTCCTAAGTGGGTCTGGACCCTTGGTGACATGGGCTGCCATCTCATGAAGGCCAGACCCATTAGGTCTAAGTTTGGTCACCCAAGGCATTGATTTGTTGCCCCTTCCTCATTGTTCATTTCCTTCTTTTTAGTAGCTTGTTTTGTTTAACCAAACATTTCTAGTGGGTTTTCTCAGTTTTGGTAGATAATCATATTCTTCCATCATCAAATCATAATAACAAGCTTATAATCTTGTTTGATAATCAAACAAGCTTCCCTCACAACATGGGGAATTCTGGTCCTGTTTCTGGTAGGTCAGCATGGGAGAGTTGGAGGCCTGGTGTGATTCTCATGGCTTAACAATAACAGTATTTAAGAAAAATTGCATAACTTAAGGATGTGTTCAATCATTTGCAGTAAGAAAATGCCTCCCAAATTTAGTACATAATAGTAAAAAGAAAAAAAAAAGTCAATTCACAAATTTTAAACTGGCCCTATCACAATTATTCAGATTTTTTAGATCCACTGTTTTTCATTGTTATTCTTAAATTCTTTGGTGGTAAGGTTGAGTGTATTGACTGAGAAACTATATTTCAGAACGAGTCTTTGCTGAAATCACCCTTAGAGATCATCTCTCCACTGCTGAGCGAAGAGTCGTGGGCAAAGACTGAAATAAGAAGATTATACTACACTGCATGCCTTGATCGACTAGAGGAGGCAATTAACTACAGATTTGATGACCAAGCTTTTATTGTGCAGGCTGTGACCCACAGCTCTTATTCTCCAAACAAGGTAAAGCAATGCAGTATTGGGCAGACTCTTACCCATAGCTTTTACTCTCCAGATGGTCTGCATTCTGTGTGCTAATAGTGCTTCCGAGCTGGCTCCTACAGCACAGGTATATTAATTTTTCTGTCAATTTTCTGTCTCCTAAAATTGTCCTTCCTCTTGAAAACATACTCTGGTTCATACTGTCACAAAGAATAGTAACTGTTTTGATCCATCTAACTTTCACTGTTTTTCTCTCTCCTGGATGAACAGTGTTTGAATAGATTCTTAAACTTGACACAACTTGCAATCGAGACTCCAGAGTTCAAATCCCGGGCGAGACAGAAATGGTTGAAGACATTTCCTTCCAGCTAATGCCTCTGTTCACCTAGCAGTTAATAAATACCTAGGAGATAGTCAACTGTTGTGGAGTTACATCCTGGGCAGGGTCAGTAGTTCTACCTGGAAGGGGGATGGGGAACTTCAAAATAAGCCCACAAATATACATACACAGGCTGCCTGTCCCAGACAAAATTAAAATAAATTTAAATTTATCATCCAAACATCCATTCTTTATCTTTTCATAATCTCAACACTTGTAACACTTGATAAATTTTATGAATAAAAAATACATAACAGTACATTACAGATAAACTAGATGCTTTAAAACAAACAAGTTTTTGTCAATAAATATTATATAATATGGGTATTTGCCAAGGGTCCCGATATTTCTCCATACGATCTTGTAATGATGTTTTGGTGAGTATAGTTGTGTTAATTTAGGGAGGTGGAAGTTATGTTGGGTAGCAAGAATGTTGCAAACATATTTCCCTCGACTTACTCATTTTCATGTAAATGTGATGGGCTGTTACCGAGAAATAACAGCAATTTGCTGTGCTCTATCTTCGACAAAGAGACACCTAATCATCTTAAATGCCTCAAGAACATAAAAAATGAAACTAAAGAGGGTTTATTAGCCCAGAGTTGCAAGAATCATATAAAATCTAGGAAAGGCAAAGAGAGCAAAATACCATGAATGAAATAATAGAACAAAATAGAACCAGTGAAGAGCAGGGGTGCCATAGGCACAATCAGAGAACACTGTATCAACATCAGAGAGCCACGGTTGTTCAACATCATCCCAGCGAGTATAAGAAATATTGCCAGAACAACTGTGGACGACTTCAAGATAAAACTAGATAGTTTTCTTCAAGAAGTACCAAGTGCATCAGTTGGTGGTCTAGTCATAGGCTCTGGACTGAAAAGTATTGATATGGGAGCTGGCAACTCCCAGGGTGCTGCCTCCTTGTTGTAGCCAGCTATAATTAGGTGGGTTTATCCCCAGTGGGCCAGACAGAGGCTTACGGCTCATGCAGGAATATCCCTGCAAAAAAACAAAAATGGGGGTGGGGGGTGTTACGGTGCCCTCTCCTATTTCTTTCGTTTGCCGGCTTAAAGAGTCATATCAGCTCTCCCTACTAATTCTCTGAGGTTCAGGGAGTCTAATGATATATGTGGCTACCAGACCGGCTGCCAGTTAAGGGAGAACGTTACATTATAAGTTGTAAGTAAGGGGAAATTGGCGCCCTGTTATAAAATGAAAGAGTATCCCCTAATGCAGATATGACCTTTTGGAAGGGACACTAGCCGATCGCGGATTGGCCGACTTAGGTCGCGGGCGACCAATCAGGGCCCGCTGTGACGTCACCGAGTGCCCCGGGCGGCGCCAACGTCAGAGTTAACCTGACCTTGGAAGCGACAGGACGCACCTTGGTCAGCTCTCAAGGATTAGAGGCTCTACAAGCCTTTCTTAGTGGATTAGTGCTGGCTATTGCAGCCCATCTGCTGTATTGGAGACCCCGCGCTTCTGGGAAGCAAAAAGGAACCAAGTTTATTGAGCGAAAGAGTGCCAAACTTGGAGAATATTCGGCGACGATGCTGGACGTTGAGGGTCTGAAAAGGTGTGGCGGGCAAGCCTAGCTGTGACTGGGTCACATCCACTGAGGGTTTTGGAAGGATGACACCGTGCCTAGGACAAGGAGCAACGCCTTGTGGAAGGGGCGAGTGTGGGAAAATAGTGATTAGCTCAGCGCCTATCGATGAACCAGGATTGGGGTAGCTGAATCTCAGGGATTGGAACGGCGACGACGCGAAGGCTCCACGACACCTGAGGACCTGTGGAACGTTCTTGGATCGTCGACGATCGACTCGGGAAGCGTGGGAACCTCACACCATCGAGGGACAGGCGTCGTGAGCCAGGAATGTAAGGTAGATCATTTTCCCTCCCATTACCCTTGTGTGAGTAGGCTAGTTAGGCCACAATATTTACTTATGTATGTGGCAACAGGACATTAATACTTTAGTAGTAGAATAGGCTGCAAGGCAGCTTGTGTCCAGGACTGTCAGAGGGGACAGTGTGTATGGATGGCAGGACAGTGAAGAAGAGGCGCCGACGTGGTGAAGAGGCCCTCCTGTGAGAGAGTGTGGGACTCCTGTCTTTCTGCCCGGTTGAAGGAGTGTTGGAGGTCGTGGAAGAAGAGGCTGACGATCTCCAGACTTATTATCCTTATTTTCATATTCCTGTATTACTTGTGATTGTATGTGTGTTCATGTAATTTGCATCAGTAAATTCACACATTTTATCACTGTGTTTAAGTGTGCCTCCATTTTATAATATTTCTCTATGAGCATACACGAAGGTTATCATAGTACCACCTAGGGAACACTGCGTTCTCTATAGCAGTTCTTATTGCCTGGAGAGTGGTAAAGACAGCATGGACCTATATAAAAGTGTACCCTTAGCCATCCGATCAGTATCAGTGCCTGAATGGTGGCAACTAGTAACGTGGTGGCTAGAGAGGTAAAGCCACACAGACCTTCCTGGGAGAGTACCCTGGGCCGACAGTCTAGTAGCAGATCTATGGGAGTAGCAATCTTCTGGCTACAAACAATATATAATACACCCACTGAACTGCATTGCTGGGGTGCAGATATAATAACCCAGCTGGCGACCTTGTTAAGAAGAAGATAGAGAAGACAGGCGGGAAAGGAGTTCCTGCGACCTTTTTGTCTGGCAGGCAAGATTCAGGGAGGTTATTGTTATAAGGTAAGCCTGAGTCTTCCTTCACTCCTCCACGGGTCTAGGCCGGAACTGTTAACAGCAGTTTCCCCGTGTTTGACTGAAGGGCTTCCAGGGTGAATCAGTGGCACCCCTTTTGTGGTGGAAGCAAGGACCTGCGGAGGTGGGCATTGTTGGTCCTCTCCTGTGTGACCAAGGAGACTCCGGTGAATCCCGGGAGTCGGAGGGGCTGAGTATTCGGCCTTTTGAGCCCCTAGCAGCCGAGTGCTAGCAGAGCCCCGGCCCACCCCCCACGTGACAGAGGTTAAGCTAAATGCATGGTGGAAGCATATGCAGCTTCATTTCTCTATGATATTTTTTTCTTTTTCGGTAATCATAAAAAAAAACTGCAACATGCCCAGGTGTAAGCAAAAAAAAATCCTCTTACAAAACTGTTCACTTGTGTTCCTGGGCATGGGGGGGGGGAGGGGGGAATCGTAGGCGACATATTTTGGCTGCAATAGGGTGAGGAAGTCTGACAAAATTGAGGTGTTGACAGAGCAATCGTCGGAGGCGGTCAGCTCTGCCAGAGCTGTCAGGCGGGAGTTGCCACAAAGCTATTATTATCTAATTATTTCAATGTCTCTTGATTGATTTTTCCTTATTTTTTTGCAGTAATATTGTTCAATAATGTTTAGTGTGATATTTATATATAAAATGTGTGAATCATCGCTACCTTAGACCTTGGAGTTGTTCCGGGGCTTAGCATCCCCGCGGCCCGGTCATTGACCAGGCCTCCTCGTTGCTGGACTGGTCAACCAGGCTGCTCGCAGCTTGATGTATGAATCACAGCCTGGTTGATCAGGTATCCTTTGGAGGGGCTTATCCAGTTCTCTCTCGAACACTGTGAGGGGTCGGCCAGTTACGCCCCTTATGTGTAGTGGAAGCGTGTTGAACAGTCTTGGGCCTCTGATGTTGATAGAGTTCTCTTTCAGAGTACCCGTTGCACCTCTGCTTTTCGACGGGATATTCTGCACGTCCTGCCATGCGTTCTGGTCTCATGTGGTGTTATTTGTGAGTGCAGGTTTGGGACCAACCCTCCAATATTTTCCACGTATAGATTATTATGTATCTCCCGCCTGCACTCAAGAGAATACAGATTTAGGCTTTTTAGTTGGTCCCAGTAGTTTAGATGTTTTACTGAGTGGATTTTAGCAGTAAAGGATCTCTGCATGCTCTCCAGGTCAGCAATTTCTCCAGCTTTGAAAGGGGCTTTCTTTGTGCAGCAGTATTTCACTCTAGAGAGCACTAGCATCTTGAAAAGTATCCTCATCGATATAGCATCTCTAGTGTGAAAGGTTCTTGTTATCCAACCTGTCATTTTTCTTGCAGTTGTGATGGCTACTTTATTGTGTTCTTTGAAGGCAAGATCTTCCGACATGAGTACACCCAAATCTTTTACATTGCCTTTCTGTTCTATGTCATGGTTTGACTGCGTTTTGTACATGGTTTCCGTTTTCATATTTTAATTTTTTCCGTAGTGCATGAGCTGGAACTTATCTTCATTAAACACCATATTATTTTCTGTTTTCTGAAAGACCTGATTTACATCTGATTGGAGGTTTGCCTTGTCCTCTATGTTATCTACTTTCATGAAAATCTTAGTGTCATCTGCAAAGGATGATACAGTACAGTACTATAGATTGTGTCCTTGTCTATATCCGATAGGAGGATGAGAAAATATACTGGAGCAAGCACAGTACCCTGGGGGACTGAGCTCTTCACAGTTGATGGATGGGATTTTATTTTGTTGACTATTACATATTTGGAAATGTGTAATAGTTAGTCAGGAAATTGTGTATTCATCTGCCTATTTTTCCGGTAATTCCTTTTGAACGCGTTTTATGTGTAATAACACCATGGTAACATTTATCAAAGGCTTTTGTAAAATCTGTGTAAGTTTTATCAGCGTTTTCTCTGTCTTCCATGGCATCTAATGCCATGGAAGACAGAGAAGTCTTCCATGAAGTCATAGTGGTCCAGCAACTGTAACAAGCAAGTGTGCCCTGTTCTGAAACCATGTTGTCCAGGGTTATGGAGATGCTGTGATTCCATGTATTTTGTGATCTTACTTCTTAGCGCACACTCAAAAAATATTATGATGTGCGATGCTAGTGCTATCGGTCTGTAATTTTTTGCCTCTGCCTTATTTCCTCCTTTATGGAGTGGTGCTATCTCTGCTGTTTTTAGTATGTGAAGGATAATGCCAGTATCTAGGCTTTATCTCCAAACAATGTGAAAGGCCTGTGATAGTGGTTTTTTACTGTTCTTGATGAATATGGAGTTCCAAGAATCAGGGCCTGGTGCAGAATGTATAGGCATACTGTTTATGGCTTCCTCAAAATCCAGTGGGGATAGGGTGACATCTGATATATGATTTGATGTTGGTATCATGTCCATGAAAAATTCATTTGGGTTATCAATCTTTAGTGAGTTTAGTGGCTCGCTGAAAACAGACTCATACTGTTTGCTCAGTATCTCACTCATTTCTTTGTTGTCATCGGTAAAAGTCCCATCTCCCTTTCGCAGGGGTCTGATACTAGATGTGTTTTTTTATCTTGATTTTGCATAGGAGGAAAAAAATATTTCAGATTTCTCTCTATTTCACTGATGACCTTTACCTCTCTTTGCCTCTCCTGGGTTTTGTATGATTCTTATAGCTTTAGTTCAATTTCTGCTATACTATAAAATTTCAGAAATAGCAATTTCTGCTATTCAATAATTGCTATACTCAAAAATATAATGTTCATATTAGTGATTCAATTATGTTCATATATCTGGGAAGTAATTTTTTTTTTTTTTTTTTTTTTTTTTAATTTAAAAAAATTCTGGCATGCCCCAGGGCTGCTGGCTGGCTCAGTTCTGAGTGAGCAAACGTGGGTAGTACACGTGCCTCTGGCGCCCAATCCCCTATCCAACGCGGTGTTAAAAGATAACTCTCTGTTAGTGAAATTGAGACCTTATTGTTTGAAGAACATAAGGGGGTCATGATATTGATGACGCTAGGCACGATAAAGACCTAATACAAGTGTCAGATACAAGTGATACAGCACAGATGAAGACGATACAGCGAGCATATCTAGAAGTAGTTGAGCACCACCTTGACCACCCGTGCCATCTCCAGTTTTTATAGATGATACTCTAGATGAATCGTTTTCTGGGTTCAGTGATGATGCTTCTGATACAAGTAGTATAGATGAACAGTGTTTTAGCAAATAGTGTGTGAGTGAGTGTACATAAGTGTAAATAAATTGAATATTGAACACATAATATTACAGCAATAAAAATTTTGTGTGAACACATTAGTGACACATGTATGACAGTTCCTTGGAACATTATGAACATTCTACTGTATACATATTGTAAAGGACACCAATGTGCATCAGATATGATAAAAAAAAAGTCATTAGAAATCATTGAAAATGCATTGAAAAATTAATGAAAATATATTTGTGGCAACTCGCGGGTCTTGAATCGCCCATGCTTTATTTTAAAACATGGGCGCTTCATTTATAAATGAACACTTCATTTTCAGCGCACCACCAGAATGTCACAATAAATGTGCTGCAGCATGGAGGTTAAGGATTGGTGGGGCTAATGTGACATGTGTGGACCTATCTCTGTGTGGCTAGCTTTAAGAAACCACCATGGCCCAGTCAGAAAGAGGTGTATCATTACGTTCAATGCTAGTTTTTGTATTAAATTTGTCACGTGCATGTGGATTTTTCATGTTACAGGTATTTAAATTAGTCACTAAATAATGATACTCCTGATCATATTGCAGGTAACTGATTGCAACCAGAGACTTGAGTTTTTAGGGGATGCAGTTTTGGACTACTTGGTAACAGGGCAAGTCTTTTCTCGTCATGCTTCTTATTCCCCCGGGAAGATATCCGACTTGAGGTAAGGCCTTACTAATGATTCCGTTCATCCATGATTCTGCTCTTATCATTTACCCAATTTATCACTTGTAGAATTAGAGAGGCATTTGTCCAGAGAAGAAAGGAATTCTATATCGGAACGTCAAGTAAATGTACCTTTGCACAATTTCTTCATAAATGGGCTTATTTGAGGGATGTTCTCAATTGTCTGTATATCATCTCTAGTAGGATTTAATAGATTTAATTACCCTTCAGGTGTAGTTCATGTTCCTTCTGGTCTTCCCTTCCCTGGTTCTCGCTCCAAACCATCTTGGGGTTTAGGAGTCGGGTCAGGATTTAGCTCGGATTTTTCCCAGAGTGGTCTCGTCCATATTATAATGATGGGGGTAGTGGAACCTTCTGGTCCTGCCCCCTTACCCTGAGCCTTCTCTTGGGAGAACATCTTCCTGTCTCAATTGTTGGAGGAGGGCTTTGGGGTTATTGGGGGACACACACTAGAAGGTGAAGGGACGACGACGTTTCGGTCCGTCCTGGACCATTCTCAAGTCATTCCTTCTCTGGGGTCTCTCGTCGGGCTCATAGTTTCTGGTCTCTGGGCGAGCTCGCGTGCGTTGGGGGGGTTTTCTGTTCGACGGACGTTCCGTCTCCGTTTTTGTCAGCTTGGGTTTCCGGCTCTGCCTCCTCGGTGGTCACGCCCGAGATCTTCCCGCGGCTCCACCTCATCCTAGGCTTGGATGAACCTTGACGGGGCTGGTTGGGTTCTGCCTCGAGTCTCTCACCTTTGGTGGGTGGTCGGGTGGCTTCATAGTTGGTAACCCACCTGCGTGCTTTTCTTGGCAGCAGTATGGGGTAATTTGGTGGTCCTTCCTTTTCCTTCTGTCCCTTCTTAGGTGGCTGCGTTTGTTGGCGTCGGCTTGGCTTTTCTGGTGGGGGTTGGGGATTGTTGACTTGCCGCATACTGTCGTCTCGTTTTGTGTGGCGCTGGTGGAGCTGCTTCGGCTTGCTTTCGGTCTTGGTGTTACGTCTGCGCCGTTCGTAGGCTGTCTCGTGCATTGTTTCACCTCCAGCCTGTTCGTGCGTCGCTTGGGCTGTCCTGGTCTTTGGACAGCGTGCTCTTTCTTCTCCTCGGTAGGTGGTGGCCCCTTCGGTTCGGGTTTGTTTTGACGGCTCTTTTTCCTGTTGGCGTTTGCCTCTAGGGCTTGGGCCGCTGAGCTTCTTGCTCTCCTTCAATCGTGGCATTTGTTTTGTTTGGTTGCGGCTGTCTCCCTCTTTTCTGGCACCGGGTAAGGCTGCAGCATTCGGGGGGGGGGGAGGGGGGAAGGTTGGTCCTTGGTTTGTTGGTGTTTGGTTGGTCAGGCCGGAGGTGCGTCGTGTTTTGTGTTCAGTTGAGGCCCTCCTCTGTTATTTGCGCACTGTGGCTTCTGTGTCCTGGGCGCGCTTTCGGTTGATCCAGTTCCGTTCTTCTCTGTTCGCGGGAGAAGGTGTCCCGGGTCGTCCACCGTGCTTTTGCGGCTAACCAGCCTGTGTTCTTTGCCCGTGGCGTTCGTGGTTTCCTGCTCTTGCTGCCGTCTTGGCAGCGTGTCCTTGCTGACTTAAGGCACGGGGCTTTTTGGCGGTCATACAGGGGCCTGGTTGCTCGTTGTCTCGTGTCGTTTCCGGGCTCGTTCGGGCCTGTGTCGCCTTGGGTTGGCGGTTGCAGCCTGTTGTCTCGCTTTCCATTGAGGGGTGCATGGTGTTCGCCTCCCGGATCCGTCCCTTTGACCTTCCTCTGTGGGTAGTTAGCTCCGGGGAGCCGACGGGGCTCCCCCCAGAAAACCAGCGTTGAATATAATGAAACGCCATTTTCTGGGTGTGATCCGGAGGCTCCCCGGCAACCCTCCCTCCCTCCCTCCGGTCGGTGGTTTTTCGCGTGTTTTGACATCCAGCCTCAGAACTGATGGGTGGATAGCCGGCGTGCGAGATCTGGGGCTTCCCCTTCTCCCTCCCAGGGAGGGGGAAGCTGCGCAGACAGGTGCGGTGACGTGTGACGTCATACTTGTTTGCTTGTTTTATGTCGGGGAGTTCTATCCACTAGTTCGGCTTTTGGTAGTAATTTTTACCAGAATAGGTTTGTTTTGGGATGCTTACCTTTCTGGATGTTTGACCCGGTCGATGGCAGACATAGAATGCTTCCAACCACACGGGGGTTTCTATAGGCCATTGCTTCCCTTGCCTTGAGGGGGACAGGTTCTGGCTGTGGTCCCCAGTAGGCCCTAAGAACTCCATACACATGACTGATGCCAAAGTCTGACATTAGCATATCAGCCTGGTATAGCTCCGGGGAGCCTCCGGGTCACACCCAGAAAATGGCGTTTCATTACATTCAATGCTGAGTTTTTTCCTTTGTGGTTTCTTGATTGGCACTTAGTGTCAAATCACCTCTTTTTGTGCAGTGCTGGCATGGGCATTGTTGCTTGCATTGTGTCAATACTTCCTCTGTGCCATTTTGTAAGCATTTACATGCATTGTTTCACTTCTGGCTTGCTCATGCTCCACTTGAACCCACTTGGTCTTTGGACTGTGTTCTCGCCTTGTTTTCTTCGTTTCTAGCCTTTTCTTCTTTTCAAGATTTGTCTTGCAGGCAGTGTCTGTATTACACTCCCGAGATACTTTGTGCAATTTCACCCTGCCAGTCAGGGTGCCTCCCCACTCCACAAATTAAACTACCTCACTACCCATGAAAGTGATGACAACATGCCATAGTTGAAAGTAACATAAGTCTTAAGATAATGTATTTTGTGTGATTATTCATGTTGCAAGAGTAATGTGTGCTTTTTCTAATTTTATTGATCTGTGTTTTTCATTGCAGATCATATTATGTCAAGAATGAAACTCTGGCCAGAGTTGCTGTAGACATGAAACTTCACAAACATTTACTCTACCTGGCACCCAAACTAGAGGCTTCTATTGACAATTTTCTGAAAATTTGTGAGCACTCCTATGAGGAAGATACTCTGAATACTGAAGCAGACGAGGTGGATGGGGAGGTAGGATATTAAGTGTTCCAAGATATAAACTTTATATTACTGTACTTGTGAACCAAGATAATATTGTTAGATTCTGTAAAGAGTATTGGCATGAAATCATTATTTGCTATTTAACAAATACTGCAATATAACTTTCTTATTATACAGGGGGTGTTCTTGGTGTCTTAGTTGCATAGTTGATTGGTAGAATAAAAGCAATTTTCTAGGGGATCCCCTCGTGGTTCTCGGAAGCTACTATCCTGAGATGGTACCATCTACTATGTCACAACACCCAGGGACTTCTGTAGGCCTACCGGGAACAAGTACTAGAACCTAGCCTACTCAAGGAGGTGCAAGGGAACGATGACATTTATTTACGCCACCTCGCTGGGAAAGATTGGTAGAAAGTCAGTGAGTTAAATCAAGCCATTACTTGCTTCAAAATAGACTAATGCCTAAACACCCAACTAAAGAACTCCCACAACTATGTAAACAAATGATATAAATATCTCTGAACTAACGTGAGCTCATTTGCCCACCCTCCCACTTGTTTGGGAGAGTGGGGAAGGTACTTCACTGTCAGCTGGCACATGGTGTCCCAGGCTATAGCTGATGTAGTGGATATCAGGTCAACTCTTTGTTATGCTGGCTTCAGTGTTCTGCTTGTTCAACTAAGTGGTAACATTTGCACTTGGTGGCATTTCCTGTACACTGTGATATAGTTTGAGCCAAGGTTTGTGCATTCTTGGAGCTGCATGTATGCAGGGTTACCTTTCCTGTGTGCTCCCTAGTTCTGTCCTTGCATTGCCAAGATTATCTTCTCTGCAATCTTCAGGAGTCGCTTTCTTAGAGGTCTTCCTCGCTTGTGGTGGCCTTCGGCTAAGGTGAGCCAGTGGTCTTGAAACTTTCCCATCTTCACTCTGGTTGGGAGTGGCTTTGGCTGGTGGTTTGTACTCTTTCCTCAAAGCATTGAGATCGGCTCTGTAGCTGCGTATACCAGGTTGTTGGCTTGATTTTATATGATCCCAGTGCCTGGGTGTCCTGAGGTCCCCCCTCCCTTTCAGGCCCTGGAAATCCCTTGCAAGTTCTGTGATCTCATGTATATTACCCCTGAATTTGCTCTCACTTTGTATGAGGTTGAGGGTTGCTCGTTGCCACATTGCGATGATCATTCCTTCTGCCTCAACTATGCTATCTGTTGGGTAGTTAGGTGATACCTTCAACCCTGATTCTTGTGGGGTTTGTTCTTCCCATGCAACTCTTCGTTCTGACTCCCAATGAGGTTGGGCTTTTCAGGCAGAGAATGCTTTACATGTTAAGTCATTTACTTACATTCTTGATCACTGCCCATACTCTTAAACTATTTATCAAATCTAACCAATTATTTTACATATGTATCTCCATGTCTATATTTCTTTGACCTCTTATTTAGGTCAGGTCTTGCAGAATAACTCAAAGGTAGACTCATTTTTCAGGTACCTGGGATCATAACAGTTGGCACTGTGCTCTCTCCACTTAGAAGGCATCAGTTGCTAGTGGGTTGCTCTGGCATTTTCAAAATTGCCCCCTTTGATGATGCGCTAGGGATGGTTTGTCCAGCGCGAGGGTCTTGGGCTCCCCCTCTCGGGGAGGGTGGGGGGGGGGGGGGTTATGCAGACAGCTGCGCAGCAATGTGATGACATCATGCTAGTTTGCTAATTTTCATTTGGGTAGTTCTGTTCACTCGTTCGGCTTTCGGAGCAATATTTTCACCAAAATAGGAGTTTGTTCTGGGGCACCTACCTTTCTGGGTGCCAGACCCAGTTGATGGCAGACATAAAATGCTTCCAACCACACGGGGGTTTCTATAGGCCATTGCTCCTCGTGCCTTTCTGAGAGGTCCCAGGTTCTGGCTCGTGGTCCCTGGTAGGCAAGAACGCCATGCACATTGACTGATGCCAGAAAGCTAATATATCCATATCAACCTGGAAAGGTCCGGGGAGCCTCCGGGTCTCACCCAGAAAATGGCGTTTCATTACATTCAACTCTGTTTTTTTTTTTTTTTTGTATCATTATCTATTTTTCTTAAAAAGCTGTTAGGTGCAAGCCTTAATAGATTTGCTGCTTTGTGGTTATGATTAATCATGAGATGTAAACCACATCAGCCTTCCTGGATCTATTACTCTTTCAAGTAGATAAAATATAGGAATATTGCAATGATAAATTACATTTTTTATTACAGGACGTTGATGTACCTAAAGCTTTGGGTGACCTGGTTGAAGCCATCATTGGAGCCGTGTATCTTGACAGTGGGAGATCTCTCGAGGTTAGTCAAATTTTGTAAGAATTGTTAACAAAAAAGTCATAAATGAAAGAATAACATGTTTGAACTTGCAAAATCCTTGGGTGTGTAAGCAAATTTATCAAGTCAGATTATATTTCATGTGTCAAACTCACTCATTTCTCATTTATATTGGCCCCCCTTATGGAAGGCTACTTTTATGTAGTGTCACATCATCATAATGAGTCATTTTCATCTGAGTAATTATTTAAGTGTAGTTAAAGGACAAGAGCTATGCTCATGGTGTCCCACCTTCCCAGTATTCTTTATATGATGCCTTGAAAGTACTGACGGTTTTGGCCTCCAACGCCTTCTCATTTAACTTGGTCCAACTGTTTACCAAGTGCTTGCAAAAGTAAATTTCTAATGTCTTTTTGGCAGCTTTGTTTTCTTAGTTTTAAATCTATGACTGTGTGTTCTTGAAGTTGTAGTTTTCAAGTACTGTATTCTTCTTTTTCACTTTTGTCAATTCCTGTTACTATTTTGAACAAAGTGATCATGTCACCTCGTTTTCTTTTATTTTTTTGATGTGGTATATTTAGTACCTCTAGCCTCTCCTCATAGCTCTTGTTTTGCAGTTTTGAACAGCAGGCTGTACCCATAGAGGATAAAAATTGCAGAACAATGTCCTTCAGGTAGAGGAGTGCAGAAAAGGGGGAGGCGGACAGCAGACCCAGGACAAATGATGAGTCGAGAGATGAGCCAACACAGCCTGTGATAAGTGAGGTGGGCGGAAAAGAACATGGCAACTGCTTCCTGGAGCACAGGAGCTTATAATTTGGAAAGCACAGCCGATGCTGCAATAACAGAACCAAAATCCCTGCAAGAGATGCTCTGCCAAGCACATCAAAATCCTCCAAGAGCTACTCACCATGAAACTATAGAGAAAGAAAGTGCATGGCAGAAAGCTAACTCATAAAGTAGTCGCTGCCTGAAAAGCCATAACTCAACAGGAGGACCCGAAAGAGTAGTCGCATGAGAACAAACCCCACATGACTCAAGGTTGAAGTTGTCACTGCCCTGTAGGGGGCCTACAGTTGTGCCTTCCCTACAGTGACCCGACACCATAGGGGAAAAACAGGAAATAATAGGAAATGACATTGTAGACAAAGCTGCAAAACTTGCAACTAAGAGAAGAAATGTAGACATTTACATACCACAGAGTCTATCACAGATTAAGAAAGTAATTAGAAACAAAGCAATGCAGAAGGTGTACAGTGATCACAACACAGCAGTTGCAACATCAGGATTTGCAGGTTGATACAAGAATCCAACAACAACCACTTAGTTCGATGAAAGGGAGCAGTAGAAGAACAGAAGTACACTTACATCGCATCAGGCTTGGATACCCATGTGCATGAGAAATAGGCTTACAGGTTCTATAATATGATAGGAAATGTCAGAACTGTGGAGAAATGCCCTACAGACCACTGGAACGTTATCTAACACAGTGCGGAGTTACAAACCCATTAAGATTTCAACTTAGATTCAACAGAGCAGAAGTTGTTGTTAAACACATGGGACAAAATCTTATTGAAGCCACCATACAAGTCATAAATACTCATACTCCATCCAAGTAAAGCAGAAACAAGCAACATTTAGTGGGCCAGCCAGAGGCTTAGGGCCCGCACAAGAAAAAAAGATCTTCTTGCCCCTGCAAAAAAAAAAAAAAAAAAAAAAAAAAAAATATGTGAACCTGACAGCTGGGTGGACAGCGCTTCGGATTCGTACTCCTGAGGTTCTGGGTTCAGTCCCCAGTGGAGGCGAAAACAAATGGGCAGTTTATTTCACCCTGTTACCTAGCAGTAAATAGGTACCTGGGAGTTAGACATCTGTTACAGGCTGCTTCCTGTGGATATGTAACAAAAAGGAGGCCTGGTCAAGGACCCGGCCACCGTGACGCTAAGCCCAAAAATCATCTCAAGATAACCTCAAGAACCTGACCCAACAGGTGTCATGGCGGAGGCAGAAGGAATGAACGTAGCCATCTGGTATGGATGACATACAATCCCCAAATTCGTTCAAAGCAAGATCAGGTTCAGGGAGAAATCCATAGGGACCCCCAAACCTGCTGGAGATTACCAGGGCCCGAAGGAATCGACCAAGCATGATACCCAGGCACTGGAACACTATGCAAGATCTAGAAAAGATAATACATTGCTGAATCTATATATACGAAACCATAGTGTGGTGTCCCTGTCTCGTAATGCTTTGGAGAACTACGTATAAAAACAGTGTAGTAGGCAACACATCCTGGCTACAACAGCTGAAAATGCCAACCTCGACATACTAATGCATAGTATGCAAGTACTGGGTGCATTCTAAGCCAACAAATGCTCCAACAAACCCAAGTAAAGATAGGAAACTGAAGAAATCTAACTCAACCTGGGAGAGGACCACCACAAGCAAGGATGACGTCCAAGGAAGTGACCCTCCCCCAAACACCCCGGGGAAAGAGAACCCTGAAATGCATGCAGTACTAGACAGCACATAGGGAAGATAACCCTGTGCACGTGCAGCTCAAAGCGCACTAATGTCCAGGCTCACGCTACACTGAAAATGTAAATAAAATCTAATGATGGTCAGGAACAATAACTTAACTGAAGCAGGAGACTGGAGCCCAAGTGGAGAGAGGCGACCCGATACTCATACTACACGCATCAGCATAGAACTGAGGGCAGTGTCACCAGCTGACCGCGAGCTACATACCCCCTTCCCTCAGATGAGTGGGAGAGGTTGAGCTGACGAGCTGCAGCTGGTATTTTTTTATTGTTTATAATGCTAGGGCGTTCTTTTGTCAGTTCATGAGGTTACAGTCTCTACTACAGCCATCTGTTGATTGTTTTGTCTCGCTGACTTTCTGGGTGCCCTCCCTGGTTGTGGTATAAATAAATAAATACTGTATGTAAATAAATGTCACTGCTCCTTACACCTCTATTAAGGGGGCCAAGTTCTGGCTATTGGCCAAATAGTACTCCAAAACTGATGCGACCCAATAGATGGTGCACTATCAGTAATAGTTGCTTCAGGGAGCCACAAGGGGGCTCCCCTCAGAAATTGGAAATATTTTTCTGGTAGGTGGAGCAGGTTTTTATAAAGATGCTCCAAGAGGGTTAAACTCATTACAGTATTTTTCAAACTCTAGCTCTTATTCATTATAGTAAATCAACTTATAATATCAAATTTATCATACATAATGTGGGATATATATTTAACTACATAATGTTTGTCCTCAGAAAACCTGGAAGGTAGTAGAATTGCTCATCGGAGTCAGAGTGGAGGAATCATTCATAAACATCCCGGTGAACTGTGTGCGTGAGCTCTATGAGAGAGCACCTGGAAAAGTAAAGTTTGAGAAAGTTCCTCGTCATAAAAATGATGACGTTGCCAAGTATAATGTGCAGGTAGGTTAACAGTGTGCTACATTCACTCTTAATCACTAGTGTAATTGTTGATGTAAATATATTAGATGAGATGATATAAAGATGAGATTAAAATTATTAAGAAAATGAAAAGCAGAAATGAGAGCAGATAGGTTGTTGATTGAAATGAGGAACAGACAGGAACCTGAACTTTAATGGTGTGTTTGTTGTCCCCAGTAAGGCTCAGGGTATTTTGGTTCCCCGATTTCCACTGTGGACTTTTTTAGGTTTGGTACTGTGGTGCTTTCCTTCTGTCTCTTGATATGTTTATGGATGTCTCGGCACTGGGATTCTTTTGACTCCTTGAGGGCTGGCCCAGCCCTGGTTTCAGGCACTGCTTACTCGATGTCTGAACCCGGGTGTTTTTCTGCTGCTCCACCTGTTTCAGAAGGTTGGGCTAGTGACATATTTTCCTGGTTCGGCTCTTCTGCTCTACGCATCTTGACTTAAACATGCATATTTATCGCCATTTATATGGTGATTGGATGGCTGGGTGAACGGTGTCCCACTTCGAATCATCTTCTCGGCTGATGCATGAGATTTCTTTGCGGTCTTTTCACCGTTTTCTCTTTCTTCATTGTTACTCTTCAATTTTCCAAGCTGGTTGTTTTGTCCTTTCTTTCTTGGCATCTGATTCTGAATACTGTCTCCTCTTATCATGCTGCTACAGCTTGTGTTCGGGGCTAACACTTTTTTGGCCCCATTTTGCAAGCTTTCTCATGCTTTAACCTCCAGCCAGCTCGTGCATCTCCTGAGCCTGCCTGGTCTCTTCACCTGGTTCTTTCTTTCCTTTTTTCTCCTCAGTTTCTTGTGGCCCCTTCCATCATGGATTGTTTTTTCAAGGCTGTATTTTTACTCTCCTTGGCTTCTAGTTGTTGAGTGGGTTAGCTTCATACACTGCTTTCAGGTCAGGGGTTTTGTTCTTTTGGTCCTGGTGAGCTATTTGTTAACTTGCAGCCGACTCCTCCTTATCCAGCAAAGAATGAGTCGGCGGGCTTCCGGAGGAGTCCTTTCCTTGTTGTTGCTTGGTTGGTTCAGCCAGGGGTGCATCATGCTCTGTTTGGTGGCGGATCTTTGCCGCTACCTTGTGCCATCGGTTCTGCTTCGGTGGATTTGTTAGTTGATTTGGTTTCCTTCGTTCCCTGTTCCAGGGCTTGTATTTCTCAGGTTGTCCGCGGTATCATTAAGTCTAGCCAACCTGCGGTCTACCCTCGTGCCCATGATGTTCGGAAGTATGCCACTCTGACAGCAGTGTTTGCTAATATGTCTTGGGCCAATATTCGAGTGCAGGGGTTTTGGAGGTTTACCAGAGTCTTGGTGGCCATGTATCTTGTTAACGTTACTGGTTCCTTGTGTTGCTTTGGGTTGTGAAATTACTGAAGTGTAGTTACAAGATGAGAGCTATGCTCACAGTGTCCCTTCTTCCCAGCACTCTTTGTTATATAACGCTTTGAAACTACCAACTATTTTGGCCTCCACAACACTCGCATAACTTGTTCCAACTGTCTACCACTCTGCTGAAGTGAATTTTTTTTATTTCTTCAGCAGCTTTGTTTAGCTAGTTTAAATATCTGACCTCTTATTCTTGAAGTTCCAGGTCTCAGGAGCTGATAAGTTTTTTATCGATTATCGTTACTATTTTGTACATAGTGTTGCTTCCTTTTGAGTGTGTGTGTGTGTCGCAGTAGACAGTCTTATCCTTGAGTTGATTCTTGCAGTGCTGCCTCCTCCCTGGTGAGTGCTCTTTATTGTACTTCTCTGTGGGTAGTTAGCTTCAGGGAGCCAACTGGACTCCTCCCAAAAAAAACAGCATTGAATGTAATGAAACGCCAGATTCTGGCTGAGCACTGGAGGCTCCTTTTCCCAGGGTGTCGGTGTGTTTCATCATCATAGAACTGTTAGTGGGGAGGGTGGTGGCAGTTATGGTTGACTTAATGTAAAGTGTTCATAGCCCATCACATTCTGCACATCTGAGGGGGCCAGGTTCTGGCTCATGGTCCCTAGTAGGCCACTAGAACTCTGCGATTGATGGCACCTAGTAGTATGGCACTGATTCAGTGATAATAGCTTTCGGACCTCTGGGGGCTCACCCAGAAACTGGCATTTCATTACATTTGACACTGTTTTTTCCATAAAAGTATATGCCATCACATACACCATTTGACATTGAGGAATACCGGTGGAGTATGAAGCCTACCTCTGGGCAGTGTGTCATTACTCACGGCTAGGCATATGAAGCCTTCTCCATAGGATGTACAGTATAGTGGTTATTCTGGGATAGTGGAATTAAGGCATAACCTACTTTCGAATGTGTTTTGTAACTTTCAATTGCCAAACCTAGTTGTTAACAGGTTGTTGAGCAGCTAAGAATGAACTTTATATTGGTTGGAAATGTGTTCACTCACATTGTTTTCTTAATACATTTTGTATAATTTCATCCCAACAGATTTTGGGCTTGCCAATTCTTTGTGGTCAAGGGAAGAATTATAGAACTGCAAGGATAGCAGCAGCAAAACTGGGACTTCAAAGGTTACAATCTCTTCAGGATCAGTGAGCCTTGCTGCTTGTTACTCTTAAGTACCTTCCTGTTTTTGCCATACTAGATGAAACTGTAAACCAACATAAGCAATGTAATGTTCTTTTTCTTGTTAATTATCAGTCATGGAAGGAGAATTTGTGTGCGTGCATGTGTAATTTCCTAAGCGTAGTTGCAAGATGGAGAGCTACACGTGTGTTGTCCTGCTCGCTTACCTATCAGTGACTCAAGAGAGTGGGATCTTGCTCTTTATGCTCTCCTCTTAGCCATTTATACCTGATGCACTAATTACCCCTCTCATTAATAATATTTTCATCATCTTTCATTTTAAAGTTGTGGTTGGAATTGGCTTCAGCAACCTCTTGAATGTCTTGCACTTTCTTACCATCTGTACACGTAACGAGATCTTTCTTACTTTTCTTTGACTCAGTTGCATATCTAGTTTCCACCACTGTCCTCTTGCCTTATTTCTTTTTAATTAAAATAGGTTTCCTTTATCCATTTTATTCCTTTCAAGAACTTTCATGAGACTCAAAATTTGAGGATTAGTTTTAAAAGGTGGCCAGTTGATGCTGGCATAAGACCCTAGGTGGTGTTGGAATGTAAATACTTGTGTACTGTTATATTGTGTTATTGTGAATGTATAGATTGACATTTAGTTGTGTTTTATACTGTCCTCAGCTGTGTTCTTTGCCAATTCGGTAGCCTCATTGATGAATGATAATAATAAATGATATTGTGAAATATAACTTAAATGTATAAATGATACATATTGAGATACTGAGACATAACTAGTCACCTATGTACCTATGCACTGTGCACCAATACACCAATGTACAAAGTCTCTCTGGAAACAAAGATGAATGTGTTTCAGCTTTTTATCTTCACGTGCAATTTATTGTGCACAGTGCTATAATGTCTTCCTTTTAGCCATATTTATGCAAGTCATTATCATCCTCCTTTTTACATCTCAGGTATTTTACTTTTTTTCTTCACGTGTTTATCTGAGCATTCCTTCAGCTTGTTCAGAAATGTTTAGTGAATATCCAATAGTGAGTCAATGCATTTTTGAGTTTTGGGGGTTATTTTATTTTCAATATCTTTTTGTTTCAAAGTACAGTATATGTGTATTCCTCCCATTGTAAATAAAAATTAAGTACAGTCTATTTTTTATGATAAAACATTATTGCATTGAAATCTTCCATTATTTTTGTGTAAAAAGAAGTCAGTGGTTTATTTTTACTTAAGTGGAGTTTATTTTGTATACTTAAATAATGTAAATAATGTGATGCTCCTTCAAATAGAAATGTCTTATTTTATTAAAATGTAAAATTTCAAGTTGTATTAATTACCAGATAATTACACACTAAAGTTCATAATGAAATCACAATGGCGTGATTTATCAATGAAAATCATCGAGGCAGTGGAGTGACTTGAGCCAGCGCCCTGATGATTCCCAGACACCTGCCTTAACCAACTTGCACAATGCCTTATTTTCAAATGCAATGTTTATAAGTTGCATTTAATTTGATATATTTTTCTTCAAATTACAATGGTACTGTGGCTAGTATTTAATTTTTATATTTTTGGCAGCACTACTGATGCTATCCTATTCTATATGAAGAATTATAGAGCTAGCCATAATGTTAATCTAATATCCTCATCTCTCAGAATAGATAGTCATATTTAAAATCAGTGACATGGAATGCAAGTCTAGTCCACTAACCTGTACAGTGGCACCTCGACTTACGATGTAAATTTGATCGAAAAATGCAACTCGACTTACGATAGTGTTGTCGACTAACGATATTTGTTGGTACACGTTTGGGTCGACCGAGCGCGTGGTTCCCAGTCACGCAGGCCGACCTGCCTTGGTTTACTAGAGCTGCCCGCTTAGTGATGATCACGCCTATAAGAAATTCCGTTTTTGTGGTGATTTTTTGCTTTTTGAACATAAAACTGATTATTATATATCATGCCATGGGTCCCAAGAAAGTCAGTGGTAAGGTTCACCATACGAAAACCCATGTAAGGATGACCATAGGGCAAAAACAAGAGATCATTCGTAAATGTGAAGATGGTGTGCAGGTTGTTGAACTAGCTAGGCAATACAGCAAATCTCGGTCAACGATATCCACCATACTTACTAAGAAAAAAAACATTGAGTGCTAAAGTGGCAAAAGGCGTATCAATAATCACGAAACATAGAACACACACACTTGAGGATGTTGAACAGTTTTTATTAATTTGAATACACAGCAAGGAGTTAGCAGGTGATAGAGTTTCAGAGGCTATCATTTGTGAAAAAGCAAGGAAATTGCATGAAGACCTTTTAAAGAAAACCCCTGGAACGAGTGATGCAAATGTGAAAGAGTTTAAGGTGAGCAGGGGATGGTTTAAGAAATTTAGAAAAAGGAGTGGCATTCATAGTGTTCTGAGTGTTGTGTGTTGCGAGCTGGTAGAGGAACACAGCGAAGAACTGACCACCGAAGAACTTCACAAGAAGCAGCAACAAGAGACAGCTGAGGAAATTTCTTCAGGGGAGGAGGAGACAGTACAGAATGTCCCTTCCTTATTAGTTAAGAAAATGTGTGCAGAATTGCAAACTTTTGCTGAAACGACTCGCCCAAATCACGGTGCAGTAGGTTGTTGTCTTAACCTTTATAATGACACTGTGATGCCTCACTACAGACAAAAATTAAAACGTACGTAAAAACAAAAATCTATGGAAAGGTTTTTAGTGAGACAAACAAGCTGTGAATCACAACCAGGTCCTAGTGGTATGCAGGCAAAACGTAGAGGAGAGAGTGCCTCAGAGAAGTCATCATTGCCTGATGTTATAATGGAAGGGGACTCCCCTTCCAAAACAGTAACACCTCTCCTCCTCCCCCTCCTCACCATCTTCCATACGCGTCAAGAGCCCTCCATAAAGGTAAGATAAACACACGTACTGTATTGTAGTTAGAGAAAAAAATTTTATTCAGTATAAAATGTATTTTTAAGTTAATATTTTTGGGGGTGTGTAACAGATTAATCCAATTCCCTTTATTTCTTTTGGGAAAAATCGCTTCGACTTAAGATATTTTGACTTACGATACGTCTCTGGGAACGGATTTCCATCGTAAATTGAGGCCCCACTGTTGACCAGACCACACACTAGAAGTTGAAGGGACGACGACGTTTCGGTCCGTCCTGGACCATTCTCAAGTCGATTGTGACAATCGTATTTGAGAATGGTTTTGGACGGACCGTAACAGATTCGTCCCTTCAACTTCTAGTGTCTTGTTGGTCAACATCGCTTCAGACTTACGTTATTTTGACTTCGATCGTCTCTGGGAACGGATTGCAAATCGAGGCCCCACTGTACTAACAAATTTTGGGTAGAATTTGAGAATATCTTCCAATATCCATGAGTGCAATAAAGAGATTAAAGTATCTCTTGCCATGTAGTCTATTGATAACTAGTAGTGTTGAATAGTGTATCCTAGCTCTTGTTCAGAGTCTGCAGTTGGAATGTTCACTGAGATTCATTATCTAGAACCACCTTCCTATTTAATGATATCCCAGCCTAATTTTAACCACTACAATGTAACGCTGGTTGGTAGATGGTTTATTCTACCCGTATACATAATTATCAGGTGTAAACATTTAATTCCTTATGATTGTGCTTTCTGCCATTTTGAGTGCCGGTGATTGCTTCACTGTCAGCCTAGTTTCTTGAAATAGTGTGCTTTTGGGGATATATGGAGCCCCTTGTGCTCTCTGAAGCTATCTCAGAGAGGACTCCCAGTTACTAGAACACATCAGCCGTGGAGTTCTGTTCAGCGTACAGGGGACCAGAGCAGGAACCTGGCCCCCCTCACAGAGGCATAGGAAGCAGGTGACACTCCTCCACCTCTCCAGAAAGTCCAGTCTCAAAACAAGTGTGCACTCGTTCAACCCACCCCTCTCTCTTTCTCTCTCTCTTGAGGAGGGCAAAGGGGTTAGAACTCACTCTGTCCACTGGCTGGAGCAATCAGTTATGTTGCTGATGTATTATAATGCTAATGCTGATGACAATGGTGACATGTTTGTTGTAGGCCACCATTGTTGTCAGTAAGCTGTGGCTTCAGCCAAGTGCCTTGTTTTGACTTGATCCTGTGTGGCCTTGTGTTAAGCATTGTTGGTGTGGCAACTTGCCTATGCACCAGTGGCTAGGGAGAAGGAAAAATAGAAGCAGCAGGAAAGGAAGCCAAAAACGGCAGCAACCAGGATAAAACAAACATGCTGGAAGTTAAAAAGTAACTGGCATTAAACCCGAAATTCATGCAAAACAGTCGATCGAAATAAGTCCCTATTAATTTTTGGTTGCAAAGAAAAGGAGATAACATCTAGGTCAGAAAGAGCCATAGAACAAGCAAAAGTAGTATATAAAATTGTTGGGCTAGTGGAAGGTCTTACAACCAAAGAAAATGTCTGCGACTACAGAAGAATTGGCAGGTAGAAAAAAAGGAAAGATTGGCACCTTGATCACTCTAAACAGTAATAAGCTGATGGAAGAAGTACTAAGGAATGTTAGGAAATTACAAATTGATGAGGAAGGGAAATTATGGTCATTAAGACAAGATCTTTCAAAAGAAGACAGAGAAGCTGGAAACTGAACCTCGTAGAGGCGAAACATCTAAATGAGAGCAGGAATGAAGAAATCAATTCTTTCTGTGGGAAGCCCTTACAGCTTCCTGGAACTATTGGGTTAATGTGTGATATATCAATATATCAATTACAATACATCAATATCGATAAATATATACCGGGGCATTAGTCTATGGAGTTCAACCTACGGGCACCACGAGCCAGAACCTGGTCCCCTCAAAGAGGTTGTAGGAAGCAATGGCCCTGGAAAACCCCCTTGTGGTTGGTGTTTTCCTTATCTGCCATTGACTGGGGTTAGACACCCAGAAAGGTAGGCATAACAAAACAAGCCCCACATGGTAAGAAAATGACATCTAGAAACCACTGAGTAGAACTCTTACTACTTAGAGAGGTAGAGCCCTCCCCTCCCCGAGAGAGGGAGGGGGGGGGGGAGCCCCCCAGACCTTCCCGCCCTGGCTATCCAGCACTCCAGTTTGTTAGCTAATGTGGTCCAGGGCGGACATCTATACTCTAGCCTCAATTTCTATAGGCGGGGTTTTACCTTCGTGGTGACCTTTGCAGTGATGATGTGTTTGTGGTAGCCAGGTGTCCTCATCAGTGCCGGGGCTGCATACGCTTAGGGGTATCCTTCTCTAGGCACCCTGTGAGGGGTATTGCCCTTACATGTTAGGGTTCCCTTCCCTGGTGCGTTAGGGAAACCATTTCCGGAGGGTTTTTGCTGCACGGCATTTACCCTGCCCTTGGGGCCAGCTGGGGTTTTGTGGCCCTTGTTTGACCTTTGGTAGGGAATGGTATCGTGCTGGTTGGTGCATTAAGGTGTTGTGTAGCTTGCCTACCTATGGGGCAGCCAGTTCTTGTTTCCTCTGGGGACATTGTATTTTTATTTTTTGTGTCTGGTGTGTCTATAATTCCACCTGTATTATTTTAGCGCCTCTCTGCTAGGTCCCTGTGATTGTACACGTCACAGTGGTTTCAGTGTTTTGATTTTCCCCTTGTTAGCTTTGGGTTTTAACTGGTTAGCAACACCTTGCCCGGGCTTACCCTAGCAGTCAGCCTACAGGCTCTGGAAAACCCTGTCAGAACTCGGTGAACCTATTGATACGTCTTCGGTGGGCTGGAACTCGGAAGACGTATCAATAGGTCCACCGAGTTCTGACAGGGTTTTCCAGAGCCTGTAGGCTGACTGCTAGGGGAAGCCCGGGCAAGGTGTTGCTAACCAGTTAAAGTTCCAGCCCACCTCATGCGGGTTTGAATGTGCTGTGTGCCCTTGTCTCTGGATGATAGTCACCACTTTTGCTAGTGGTGGCTATCCACACTTTTGGTAGTAGTGTCATATATGACTACTCGCTGCCGTTTTGCTTTTTTCGCCGGCAGCGAGTAGTCGTAGGTGTTTTTCGTTACCCCAACGGCCGGCAGCGCGTAGTCATAGGTGTTTTTCGTTACCCCGGTGACTCTTGCACAGATATCGCTAATGGTCAATGACGTCACCTGGTAGCCGCTCAATGCCCCTGCACAGGTACGTTCAAGGGGATTAAAATGTCGTTCGTAGTCATACATGTTTTTTCGTTACAATAGTGTGGGGTCCTTCGTAGTCATACATGTTTTTCGTTACAATAGTGTGGGGCAGCGAGTAGTCATACATGTTTTTCGTTACAATAGTGTGGGGCAGCGAGTAGTCATACATGTT